GGAGCGTCGAGCGGCGTCCCCGCCCCACGGCTGGCCCTGAGCGGCGCGGCCGGAATTTAAATTCTGAACTTCATTTTCGCTGGCACTAGTGCTGCTGGACATTTCACTGGTGTGTAAAGGGAGGCCCTAAAGGGCATACAAGGGAAAACTTTGACTTTGCCAGAGCTCTCTGAAGTAGGTCTGACAGTTCGAATTATACTTTCATGCCAAGGGTAGTTTAACCACGGGTGTTGGGTCTAGTATATAACAAATCCAAGAGCAAAACCACCCACAATCCCGGACTATATGGTGTCCTCTAATATAAAGAGAAATATAATGGAAACTTGAACTAAAATGATTACTCCTTCGTTTTTGCAGCATAACAAGCATCTCGCTCTCGGCAGGTAACAGCAGGCACGGCAGCCCTTCGCCCCAGCCCAGGCGCTGATGCTTCTCCTGCGTGTCGTACGCAGGGCACTGGCCACGGGGCCACACAGCCCCCGGGTGAGCCTCCCTCCAGCCCCCCTGGAGCCGCTGGCCTGTGTAAAGCCATGACAGGCTTCTTCAAACATCAGCTGCTTCTCACAGAATCGCAGGTTCTGCAGGGACCAGCACACACTCAGGAGGATCAACTGAACAGAGCTCTTGAACAACCTACTTTTTTCTAAGCAATGACTTCACTATACAATATAAGCTGAATATATGTTGTTTCAACCTTTTTTTCCTCAGTTTCTACTAGTTTTCCAGTTCATGGTAGAAAGCAACAGAGCAGACCTGCACATATGGGAGACATTGGGAACACAGATCATTATGGATGGGTCTTTTAGAAAGCTACTTTCTAATTAACTTTCCCCATATTTATTTCAAGAACATATGACCACAATAGACACTCTATTACTGAAATAGCTTCTAATTTATGTATTATCAATTACCTGTTCTTGTGTCTATTATTCGTATTTATAAAACTATCATTAAGTCAAGTTCTGTCCATCTTCATGTAGTCTTTAATGTCAGTTTATTGCACTGACAATGAGGATGCTAATCACGTGGCCACTGTAATATTTTGCATTTTTTTGAATGTTATCACTGCATTAGTATCCTGCAGACTACTTAGACAACTGATAAATTTTATACATTGACTTTTGTAATGTGTCTGAAAATGAAAAGGGACCTTTCAGCAGCAGCGACCTAATTTAGATTCCACTTGAACCCCTGTCACATTCAAGATGGTCAGTCAAGAATAAAAATTTCAAAAACTGCATTTAGCCTATGCTCTCAGGTGTTACCACTGAAACACTGTCAGTTCTGTCATTGTAAAATGACATCCAGTAAATCAAATATTCTTGTGACTGTGGCCAACCAAGTTGTGTTTACAGTTACTTATCCTTATTTATTCCACTTTGATTCTGGCAAAAGTAACCAGCAGAGGGCTGCCTTCTTTTAAAATACTCTAATGACAGAAAATGAGGTGGATTTATGAAACATTAAGCAAGGGAAAGTTTAGGTAACTAGAGAAAATGGAAGAGTGTATGGTACAGAAAAATACATTAAAGATAGTTAGCTGGATTAACACTATTTTATACCAGTTTTTGCACATATTACAAAGTTTTTTGCAGTAACTCCAAGAAATATTTATACATGGTTGGCCAAGTTCAAATTTGATGTGAATAGCTGTAACACTACAGAAAGAAGGCCTAATAACACTGGGGTTTAAGTTCAACTTATAATACAATTTAAAAGGAAATCAAGACTTTACATTCCACTTACAATACATTCCTATTTACAAGATAGGTTTGGCATGAAAAGTATAATCATCTTTTTACAAATAATGTGATAACTATTTACAAGCATTTATGGTGTCTCCACTTCTGAGTGGCCAAAGTCAGCTGGGAGTCCCTCCTCTGCCAACGATAAACCTGGTTTACTAAAATGATGCCCTCTTCAATATTCCCCACGAGGAGATATACCATGGGACGATGGGTCAGAGTCATCCTCTGTGTACAGTTTTCATTGATAAGCAGCCACTGTTGTATCATACTCTGAGTTTCATAAGGCAAGAGTGAGCCCTGGGTAATGAATTCCACTTGGCATTCGATGTTATACTTTTGGTCACCAAATACTGTTCTCTTCTTGGACAGCTTTACTTTCACTGCTGAGGAAAAAAAAAAAAAAAAAAAAAAAAAGGAAAGCAGGTTGATTGCTTTAAAATATTATTGTAATTTATGCTGATAGAGTATGGCAAGGCCTTCTCCAGAAACAGTATACATTTTAAAAACTAAAGGTTATGTAGTACAGAATTTTTTTATCAAATTAGGCAACAAGGAAAAAGTATTTTCACAAAAGTTAGTAATGTCTTTTTACCATCACCATGTATGTCGGACTTTTTTTGATAATTAGCTGTTGTAAGCTGTTGGTGTTCTTGTATCATTATGCTGCCCATCTTGCCCAAGAAATTCTCCTGAATCTCACTTTGTTCATGGTAGGAACTCGTCAGCAAAAATAGCTAGTAATGCTTGCTGATGCTACCCTTTTATATATTCCCTTTTCATTATAGGTATCTACCTACCCCGCTTTATTCCACCAGCACTTCTTAGCATGAAATTTCTCTATACTGCTTGATCGAAAGCCAGCCAAAGCCACCAAGAATCTCTGCACTGATGTCAGAGGGCTATGCAGGAAGTTTCTAGGGCAAACTCTAAAGTATTGCCTGTCACTCCAGTAAGACAACATGAGGTAAGAATTTCTTTTAGTGATACTATTTTCTGAGTCTCCTTTTCAGTAAGCTATGTATCACAAAAAATGCATGCACACAAGTAACAAGGACACGCTGTTCACTGGTTAAACACCAAAGCTTTACTTTGGGTTTAACCACTAATAAAAGGCAAACCTGCTTATTTGGTTACTTTTGCCAGAAATATTTTCCATAAAGCATGTTGTACTACAATGTGGACAAATAGACAAGAACAGAAGACCTATTTGATTGTAAACTAGATCACTAATAAATCTTTCATGCAAAATAAATTCTGCTTATATTTTGATTAGAAAGAACATATTCTGAAAAGCAACCTAAAGTTAAGTCAGCAGTCAAACTCTTAATCCTTTGAAATTCAGGCAGAAACTGTCACTTATTCTAATTCTATTTTTAAAGCATTTTAGAAGGAGAGATGTTAGTCTTTTTAATAGCAGCCATATTAGCAAGGACTTACCAAAGTTACTGTCACAGAAAACTTCAAGAACTCTTCTGTGTGTAAAGAATTCCTCCACTGCTGGGCAGGTCTGGCAAGCAGGCTTTGGTAGGACTGGTAAGAAATTACAAAGTCTCATTGTTACCTTTCAGAATCTTTTAATTTTCTGCTGTCAAAGCTGAGAGCCCACTGTTTAACTACAGGGATGACAGAGGAAATAAGCAGTTGGTCAGTGAAAATGTAAAAAGTCTACACACTTCTCTGAAAACACAGCTAGGGATGAAAAGGAGTTTCATTTTCCATGTGCCTTCAGTCCTTGTTCAGACTGACAAGCTCAATTATCAGCATCAAATACAGTATTATTTTTAATACAGCTATGGTGGGTGGGACAGGGGTTAGCTGGATGATTCTATCAGTGACTCTGGGTGTAGCTGAGCTAGGATTGTGAATATATGAATTTGGGTGTGCTAGCTGCAATGGATTCCTACTGTTTCTGCAGAAGTTAACAAGCCTGAGTGCATCTGAAGATTTGAACATCATGTCATGATAATTCAGATTTCCCAAAGAAAAATCAGAGAATAAATCATCTCAACTTTTCTAAACTGATCTGAGAACCAATTCATTGTAGACATAAATTTATTTGTGATAAGGGTCATTGGTAAGTCTATAAAGAGACCTCAAAATAAATCAAACACAGTGTGCTGTCATGGGTATGATACTGCCCATAGCTGTGCAGGGTGTTTTTTTTTTTTTAGCAATGCTGATTTACACCATCTGAGGTCTGCTGCAGCTTACACTGAAAGTACTAGCACTTTGCCCTGCCATCTGCATGAACAGGGTGAAGCAGTACCAACAGACACAACTCCATTTACAAAATCACAGACTCTCTGGGAATGGTGTCCCTTGTATCTCCTTGATTCCCAGGAACACTTCCCACTCTCCCCTCGGCCAATCCAGCTACCTTTGTCCAAGTATTTATATTCCTTTGTAAGAGATGCCAGGCACATGTCCTCATCTGCAGGGAATCGATCACAGTCCAGACTGTCAGGCCAGGGGTGTCCGTGGCAGGTGAGAACAGGGGCGCAGCTCTCACGGACAGCAACACACATACTCCTGCAAGGATGGATAAACCTGTCGCCAGGGGAAATACTAGGATGAATTAGTTAAACTCGCTCAGTGATAACAGAAACTATTGCAACAGTGATTTCTGTGCAAAGTACATTGTTTCACTGGTATTTAACATCCTTCAACAATAATGTAGTGCCAGAAGCAGCAACTGTGCAAACTGCGCAAGTAGTCTGTACATGGACTCAACTGTGCTTGCAGTATTGTCACAGTTTTAAAAATGCTTTTATTACAACCTGCGAAAAGCTTCAACAAGAGCCTGATTCTATTAATAATATGTGCTTCAACTCTAAATTAACCAGAACAAAATGTCAAGTGTAACAAAATAAAACATGATATTCTTTGACAACAGCATTAATTTCCTCAAAGCAAACTAAAGTTGAAATGGAACATGTTTTCAGTGCTTTTCTTTCCAATGAGTATGAAAAAGTTAACAGAATTATTTCAGACAAAGTGGACATCACCTTTAGATTATGATAAACATGCATTTAATTTGATCCCTGTTGGAGTTTTGTACTGTGCTGTGGTACTTACGTATCTAAA